GGTACAATCGACTGAAGACCTGACCGGGTCCAGGATCACATCCAGCCATCCGGTGTCCGTGCTGAGCGGAAACCTGTTCACCGTGATAGGGAACAATCAGCAAGGGTCTGGCGACCACATTGTGGAGATGATGCCACCCGTGGACACCTGGGGGAAGGAGTTCGTCACCGCCCCGATTGCAAAACGGACCGCTGGCGACATCTTCCGAGTTGTGGCTGCCAGAGACAACACAGAGGTAGGCTCCGTCTTGTGTTTTTTAGCGACGACTCAGGGGCAAAGATTAATAAGTACTCAAATGCAGTCACTATGGAATTTGTCAAAAAGTCAATTCAAGAACAGTTAAATGGATTGGTATCTTACTTGGTGCGTTGGTAGGGTCAGAAAACTGGAAATGATGAGATTTGGGCCCCCTAGTGGCTTCTCTAGGTACTGTAGTGGAACCTTTCGGTTTTGGTATGTCGCGAGTTGGACAGGCTAGGGTCATTAATTTTGAATGGTAGGTAGCTCTTGTGCTCTGGAAGAAGTCATGTGAGTTAAGGCCCCCTAGCAGCTTGTGATAAAATTGCAGGACGGTTTGTTTAAACCAAGTAGTTTGATTTTAAACCTCTTTGATCTTCAAAACAGGATAACTAAAAAGCGGTTGACGGATCGTCCTGATTTTTTGTATATAGGTAGCTTAGTCGTAATACATTGCGAATCACGATCTAAGTTGGAAAGTTTTTAAATTTTGTTATAAGGTAACTACTGTAAATTTCATACTTGTCATATTTTGAATTTCAGTGAAGGTGAAGGAGCACGTGCACATCAGTTAAACCTTTTTTATCCAAAATCAGGACCTAATTTGAATGATTTATAAGTAAATGCTAGAATAGTCCTATTTCTTATGATAAGACTGTCATTGGGTAGAGGATGCGAACTGTCATTATTCACGCAAATGAGGCTCTTATAATTTGCATTATCACCGTGAAAATGTATATTAGGTTGAACGGTTAACATGATCTGCTAAAGGTTTGACGTCGCGGTAACTCTAGATCTTGGCGTGTATGAAACCCGAACATTTGTTTCTAGCTTGCAAATAACAAACAAACAAACAAACAAACAAACAAACAACACCTTACCTAGTCTATCCCAATGAAAATTTTACCAGTGTGTTTTAAGTTACTAGGTAGGGGCAACGTGAATATTTTGCATAAAAGTTTTGCTAATGAGCAGGTCGTCACCATGCAAAAGATTCTTAAAAGCACTTAACATTTCATGGAAGCATAAAGTGGCCGAAATCTAGTTGACAATGGCTGCAGTCACTTCAATTTCTTCAAAGTCGTCGGAAACGTCCCTGCACTTCCAGTGAAAGCTGCTAGGGGGAACCAAACTAAAGTCTCTCATTCCGTAGCCCAAAAGCTTTTTACCAGTGAAACATCACGACCATAGCAAGTTCAGAACAAAAGATACAAAAACCAGAAGTGCTGCTATAGTACCAAGGAGAGCCCCTAGTGGGCCCAAAATCCAATCATTTCCAGATTTGGGGCCAACCTATCCACACACTAAATAACATTGCCTTCTTTTTGCTTGAGCTATGCTGTTCAGAAACGGACAGACAAACTGACAAACACTACCATTCCTATTGAAAAAAATGTTATATTTTTCTCATTGATTATGAAAATAAGATCCTCATTTCATTTCTATTCTTGATTATATCTGTTGATCATATTCACATAATGACAGCATTATCTGAACAAAAAGGCTTTTCTAGCACTCCCTCATAAATTACACAAAAAAGGTCATGATTTGAATAAATTATGTTTATTGATGTTTACCTACTCTTGACTTACTACAAACCAAGTGATTAACGAGTGAACGCAGCGTGCTTATACAAGATGATCCAGGGTACAATAAGGCCACAGCAAGTATATAGATGACATTAAAGTTTATAGATGACATCAGCGCGCGTAGTTTCGCCTGATTTTGTCTTTTACTTTGATGCAGTGATTTATTTCATTCCTTTTACATGTGATGTTCCCACTGAAGCAAAACAATTTGTGCAATGATAGAAAACTTAAAATTATCTCTTTAGTGACAAATAGATTTTGTGATAGTTGGCAGTAAACTTAGCGCAATAAAGGGATCATTTCTTGCGTAACAACGTTTATAATGTCAACATTTGAAAAGGTAGGGATCTTGTTTTTAGGCTCGCCTTTTTTTCCTCTATCGCATTAGGTTCAGAGCCTGCGCAGGATGGAATCCATAGAATTTACTTGCTATGGCCAAATTGAATAACACAACAAAACGACACAAGATTTGCAATAAATAGAACGTAGGGAAGCCACGAAGGCCGATAAAATGGACATAATTGCGTGGAAAGGAAAACAAATATCTAACAGAGTTTGGGGTGGAAATGTCGCAGAACGTCTGTATTACATCCACATGAGAAACTTATGGCTGGCTCAGGAAAGGGAAAAAAATGGCTAGCCATTCGGATTACGAGTTTGTAGTTAACAAGTTGAAGCTTAACCACAAGACCACCTTGTCACTAATGCTTCTTTGCTTTTATGTTTATTTTCAAGGTGACTGTTACCGGCCGAAACCCGAGGAATCTGGACGCAGGGCAATTCTGGGAATTTGAGGCTGGTTCGAACGAGTACTTGCACGTGACCTCCAACGAACCAGTACTGTTGGTACAATACAGGTGTGAGCAATCTATTCCCTGGTTTGGCGTTAAAAACCTGCACGTTAAATTTGTAAAGACCCCCAAAAAACAGCTCTGAATAATGCATTTAAATTGTTGCTTCTGTTGCTTCTGTGCAGTAAAACAGCAGCTGCCGACAACACGGACACCGACCCGTTCTCCATGATCATCCCTCCTGTGGCCCAGTTTGAGGCAGATTACACCTTTTCAACGGTCGAGCTCCTCTACAACGGTGGCGCCGGAACCACGCACCACGTGAACCTGGTCATCCAGTAAGCTGTCCTCTTTTTCTTTGTCTTTCTGTGGCACGCACGCGCGCGCGTTTGTTACTCTCTCTCTCTCTCTCTGTGTGAGAGAGAGATGAAGAGGTTTTTTTAGCGTGCGTAGTCCAGTGGTGTGGGTTAGTACTCCTGTCATGGGAGAAAGCGGTTAGGAGTTCGAATCCAGGCTGTTGTCGCTCACGCACCTGCACGCTACTGTAAAGTGGTGCAGTCATTAGGACTGATCCACTGTTCTTTGCACTTGTCGAAAAGAGAAAAGCGGATATCCCCGGTACAATGATCCTGTAAATACTGTACATAGCGGCTGTCTTCTCTGTCACGAGCAGTGGAAGATTAGCTTCTTCATTGAGGTAAACTGGATTAAGATCTACTTTTCTTCCTTTTTACATAATGACATGTTCTGTAGAACATTAAGTTTGGGATAAGTGATCATCTGATGTTCTACCAAGGATATATCGATAACATGATTGATATGTTCCAGAAGGAGACGACAATTAGTGACTGACGTCTTGATTCCATCCTTCTGTCCATAGGTCGGCTGACAAAGCTGGTATCATATTCGATGGACAACCGTTGCCGGGCAGTACCGTATGGAATCCCGTGCCGGGGACTACCTACGAAGCTACTGACCTGACTATCTCGGCAGGCACACATACAGCAACTCACTCTTCCCCCATCGCAACCTTCGGTCTCTTCAGGTGGGATCTTAGACTAAATCTAGTGACCCTTGCTTCGAATCCTTTGCAGATTATCGATGTTTGCCCTTGGGAAATGTTGGCACTAACTAACAAAACAAGAATTCGGAGATTCCATACCACCATTAAATATATGAGTCTCTGTAAATGTTTTATATTTGTCTCATTGACAATGGAAATAAGGTCATAATTAGCATAATCTAGTTTAATTTATGGTTTTGTCAATTTAAATGACAATATTTTTATATTGTAAAATTCCTCTACTTTGTCATACTTCATTTCAACATGTCCTCATTAATTATGCAAATGACCTCCACATAATATATACATAGTGGTGTTAACCTTTAAGTAACTTACACATGTCACAAGGTATAAAAGTCCCATCATTCACCAATAAGGAGTCGCAGAATTTCCACATTAATTATACAAATTAGGTTATCATTTGCATAATTGGTATCTATTGATGTTCTGCCTGCCACATGTTAGATTACATGTATACAAGTACTATTATATAAAACACTGTAATTATAGCATTTTCATCATTTATTATGCAAATTAGGTCCTCCAGGAGGCCCATATTTGCCCTTGACCTTTGTCTTCCTAAGACTTACCAACATACCAAATATCATCACAATCCATAAAGGCGTTCTGAAGTTATGCTGACTACAAATGTGCGGAAACACAAACACACAGACACATACACACGTACACACACAGACAGACAGACAGACACGCCCAAAACAATACCTCAATTTTTCATTGAGGTAATAAAAAAAGGAGAATGGAGCTTGTTGGGCCCAGCGCGCGGCACCCTGGGTTGGTGGCAAGTGAGCTTTGCCAGAATTATGACCTTCCAAGCTTCCCAGGATACAACCACACAAATTCCATGACCCGTGCCAGGTAATTACCGGGTACCGAGCGTCGGGTCGGGACGTCGGAAACCGTACCGGATTTCCCATGTTTGGGAAGAGGCACACCTGAATAATAGTTGATAGTGTGGGCAGGGCTTTTTCTGTTTTACTTTTTTTTTTTGAGGCGGGTAGCATACGGTCATTACTACCTGGAACGTATACAGCCTCGCCGCGTTTTTACACATCTTCTTCATCGCATCCCTAGCTATGGCTTAACAAACCTCGAGGCGTATGGCTATCCAGGCGGCCTCCGTCTGGCCCAGATCGGTGGAGCCTGCACCCCCACCCAGACTGTCGCAAACGACCGCGTCGACAACGACTGCGACGGGCGTGTGGACGAAGAGCTGAGGAACGGCATCGACGATGACGGCGATGGACTGATCGACGAAGACATCGCCAGTGGTGGTGAGTGTCGTCTAAAAAAAGATTAAAGTAGTCCCACAGCAGATCCCTTTTTAGGCCGTAAGAGCAGTCTGTTGTTGATCCACAGGTACCGATGTTGGTCGTCGACCGATCTTCAAGATCTCAACTATCTACCCATCCTTGCCACAAGGTTAACCGTAAATAGCCAGGCAGTATACCCTGGCAGTATACCCCTGGCAGTATACCCTGGCAGTATATCCCTGGCAGTATATCCCTGGCAGTATACCCTGGCAATATATCCCTGGCAGTATACCCTGGCAGTATACCCCTGGCAGTATACCCTGGCAATATACCCCTGGCAGTATACCCTGGCAGTATATCCCTGGCAGTATACCCTGGCAGTATACCCCTGGCAGTATACCCTGGCAGTATGCACTGGCAATATACCCCTGGCAGTATATCCCTGGCAGTATACCCTGGCAGTATACCCCTGGCTAGTATACCCCTGGCAGTATACACTGGCAATATACCCCTGGTAGTATACCCTCGCAGTATATCCCTGGCAGTATACCCTGGCAGTATACCCCTGGCAGTATACCCTGGCAGTATACACTGGCAATATACCCCTGGCAGTATACCCTGGCAGTATACTGGTGGTATACCTTGCAGTATACCCATGTTCCATGTCCACTACAAAATGATTGCAGACATGTACCATTTAGGAAATGGTTTATATTTAAGAAAAAGTGGATTTTTTGTTAGAAGGTACCCATGTGAAGAGAAAACCCAGGTTTACTGTAAGTGACCGCGGGTGACCCCATTTCGAACACCGTTCTGTTCAAATTACGTCAGTTCGAACATGGTTTTGGTTTTAAAGCAGGTAGGGAGTTTTGGGGCCCAAATTTTGACCACCGTTTTTACCATAACGTTTGGCGTTCCCATGTTCGTTAAACAGGTCAAGAGCCGTTTAAGTTTTATTTGTTTATGTGAAAGATCTCCATTAGTGTATGTACAATGTATACTAATAATCAAATGTGTGGTAGGCTTCTGTAATGAGGAAGAAGGTTACAGCGTGGACGGAAGTGGATGGAGAATGGGGATGCCACTGCGTTGACTCCTGTTGTGGTGAGATACTGTTACTATTTTTCTTTGTTAATGGGGCTCTCTTTTCCGTCTAATCTTTTATCCTAACAAACCAGGGAAGGTCACAGTGTGTTCAAGGAGTTACATAATAAAGTAAACCTAAAAAATCCAAGACACCATTTAAACAGAATTTTAGGTATCCACTATAAAGAACGATAAAAGAACATCACAGCGAAATCCTGCATGATGACATTGTGAGCCCTCGTCTTTGCAGCGATTTTCGTCTTGTACAAATGTCGAATTAAAGTAAACTGAAGTAGCCAGTGAATGTGATAATGGCTCTTTGTGGTTTAGTGAAACTTATTGTGTTCCACGATGTTTCTCCTTCCCCTCCTCCTCCTGTCATTTCTTTAAATGGATTCAACTGTGCCATTTTTCAGCCAAATGACCTAAAATATGTGGCATAAAGGTAGAGTGGGCGAATAATCCAAGAGTTTTCAAACATGCCTTTAAAATTGTTTTATTTGTTTGTTCTTTTTTGGCAATTTTCAGGCAAACCATATACATTTGGGGACCTGCAACTCTGGCACTAAAACCAAAAACCCTGAAATTTGGTATGGGGATACTCATTGACACATGTCGACAGAATGCAATTCAAGATTTTGACATACGCCACTTTAAAATATGGCTTTTTATAGAAAAAGTACATTTCTGGCTCTGGTGCCCTAATATTAAATACGAGTGAACCGAAATTTGGTGTGGGGATTACTTAGACACCTTTCCAAAGAATTTTGGTTCTTTTTCTTTGACATACACCACGTCCAAATATTGTGTAAAATAGGGCTTTTGGCTATTTCCGGACAAAAATGTACATTTTTGGCACCTGTGCCCTAATATTAAAACCAAATGACCTAAAATTTGGTATGGATACAATCTAACAGAACTTTATTTATTCTTTTGGCGTGTGTCACTTTAGAATTATGTATTATTTTGCTATTTTTGACAAAAATGTACATTTCTGGCTCCGATGCAATACTACGACAACCAAATCACCTACACAGATTTAT